ATGAACTAGCAGTGATGAAGGCAAAAGTTTTTAAATTTTCTATAACAATTAGAAAGTGTTTAGCTGCAAAATCACAGAATATTCAACTAGAGGTAACTTAAACAATGAAAAAAAACTTAGGCACATAAAAAGAAATTCAAAGATAGGTTGTTTCTAGCTTAGTTTATGCAGAGACCCAATAATACCATGAAACATCCAGGTGCTTTTTAGCTTTTTGCTTTTTCTCTCAACCTTCTTCCATCCTAGTGGGAAGATGCCTCTGTACACTATCCCTGGCTGTGTACTCTCATGCAACCATGTTGAAAGAGAACATATTCATTATCTCTTGCTGCATAAAACATCAAGTGGCTTAAAATAACAACAAAATTTATTCTCTCTCAACAGCTTCTGTGGGTTAGGGATTTGGGGGGTAGCTTGGTTGGGTAATTCTAGCTTGGGATCCCTCGTGGGATTGCAGTAGAGGCAGCTGGGACTGAGTCCATTTGAAGGCTTGACTGAGGCTGGAGGGGCCTCTTCCAGGTGCCCCACCTACATATCAGCAAGTTGTTTGAATATTTGTAGCACAGGTGACTGGCTTCCCCTTGAGCAGTGGTTCTGGAGGGGGGTGATTTTGCTGACCAAGAGATACTGAGCCACATCTGGAGCCATTTTTGGCTGTCACCACTGGGAAGGTGCTATTGACCTTCTGGTGGCCAGAGACTAGGGTGCTGCACAGGGCAGCTGCTCACCAGGATTCTCAAGCCCACACTATCAATAATGCCAAGGTTGAGAATTCCTGCCCTGGAACATGTGAACAAAGAGAGCCAGAGCTCTCTGAAGAGAGAGGTTAGTTAAGAGCTGAAATGTCTTTTATTTCCTAGCTTTGGAGTTATCTATATTCTATGTGTAAGGGTCCATCTAAGGCTGTGACTTCCAGGAGGCAAAGCTCACTGGTAGCCTCTCAGGGTGGGGGTGGCTCCCACAGGCAGGCCCTCCTCCTGCCATCTCTTGTCTTGTACTGTCCTGTCTTCCTCTTCCTTCCATTCTTTTTCCCTTCTTCCTACCTTCCTTCCATTTCTTTTCTTTTCTCAATTTCCAGTGAGGGAAACCATTCCTACAATCACTGAAGACTTTTCCTCACAGTGTTGCATGACACGCCTGTGTATGAACCAACCATTAGGAGAGAGCATGGTGCTCTGCTGTGGTGAGTCTAGGCCATTTAGCATTCATCCTTCTTTCCTCTATGGCTGGAGGGAACCCATATTCTTTAGATACATGGAGTGTAAATTCTCAAAATCAGAGGTTTATGAGTAAGGGAAAAAGGAAATGGGTTTGAGTGGGTGATGGATTTTCCACCTCTGCTCGCCTTTGTCTTTTCTACACACACTTTCTTTTCAGATTCAGTTTGCTTCTTGGTGGAACGCAGTTTCTAATTTCAGAAATGGTCAGCCATTTGAATTTTTTTATTTTTGTTTTTGTTACAGGCCTTGGCCGTTTTGAACCTGCCACCCCAGTGCATAGGACTGGTGCTCTAACCATTGAGTTACAGGCACCTAGCCCATTTGAAATCTTATGTGTCTGAAAATGTCGTTCTTTTGTATTTTTTTTAATTGTTAATTTAGTTAGGTGAGGGGGGAGGGTTAGAAGCAATTCCCTTAGAAATACTCTTTCCATTCTCCATTATCATCTATTGTTGCTGAGGAAGGAGTAGTTAACCTCATTAGCATTTCCTTTTTATTTCTTCCAGCTCTGAAATTCCATTTGATGTGGTATTTTTTACTATGGTTCTGCTATATGAGAGCTGTAAATGAGAGCTTTTAACTAGAAATACTGGAGTGTTTTCTATCATTATTTGAGTACTTCCCTCCATCCATTTTCTAGATCTCCTATTAGATGAATATTGAAACTTCTGGATTTATTAACTATTACTTAAATTTTCTCTCATTACTTTACCCTTTTTCCTGCAACTGGGGAGAAAACTGAGCTGCCTTCTGTTTTTACTTCAAGTTTCAGTTAAGCCTGAGTCAGTATAGTGTGGTGATTAAAAGCCTGAGTTCAAGTCCTGATTCAGCCATTTATTACTGTGATACTTTGGATAAATTCATTAACCTTTCTGTTCTTCATTCTATTCATCTGTAAAATGAGCAGATGATGACAGTACTGACAACTGTTCTACTAGATTGTGAAGATTAAATGTGTTAGCGCATAATTGCTGTCTTGGTCCATCTGGGCTCTATTAAAAAAAATGCCTTAGGCTAGGTAATTTGTAAATAATAGGAGTATATTTAGTTCCTGGTTCTGGAGGCTGGAAAGTTCAAGATCAAAGTGCTAGGAGATTTAGAGTTCAATGAGGGCCTATTCCTCACAGATGTTTGTCTCCCAAACCTCATGTTAAAATTTGAACCCCAGCTTTGGAGGTAGGGCTAATGGGAGGTGTTTCAGTCATGAGTGGACCCTCCTCAGTGGTGTGAGCTCTCATAGGAGCTGGTTGTAAGAAAAGGCCTGCCCCCCTTTTGCTGCAAGATTTCTGCACATTCCCGCTCCCTGGTGCCTTCCTGAGAGTGGAAGCAGCTTCTGGAGCTATGATTTATACAGCTTATAGAACCATCTGGCAAACAAACCTCTTTTCTTTATAAATAATCTAGCTTTAGGTACTTTAAGGCCACACAAACAGACCAAGGCAGGAGCCTTCTGAGTGTCCTCACATCTTTTATAAGTGTATTGTTCCCACCTGTGAGGACTCTGCCCTTCTCGTCTAGTCACCCCCCCAAAGTCCCCTTCCATGCACACTGTCACTATGGGGGCAGATTTTGACACATGAATTTTGGGAGGACACAAACATTCAGATCTTGGCAAAGGCTAAGAAGAATATTTGCAGTCTATTAGTTATTATTCAATCTATTTATTTTTATATTTTAATGAATAGTCTTTTTTTTTTTTTTGAGACAGAGCTTCAAGCTGTCGCCCTGGGTAGAGTGCCGTGGCATCACAGCTCACAGAAACCTCTACCTCCTGGGCTCAAGCGATTCTCCTGCCTCTGCCTCCCAAGTAGCTGGGACTACAGGTGCCTGCCACAATGCCCGGCTATTTTTTTGGAGTTGCAGCCGTCATTGTCGTTTGGCTGGCTGGGCTGGATTTGAACCCGGCAGCTCAGGTGTATGTGGCTGGAGCCTTAGCTGCTTGAGCCACAGGCTCTGAGCCAATGAATATAATCTTAATTAGTTCTTTGATTTGTTTTCATAAAAACCTGGTTATTTTATTAATGTAAGTCCCTATATTTTTCCTTTGAGGATACTGGTAATGGATTTCTTTTTTTATGATAACGGATTGCCAGGAATGATTGGGATTCTGGGTTGTCCACTCATCCTCAGTTTTGTAACTCACATTTGCCTGTTGCCAATTCTGAGTGCTGGCTTTGCTGGCTGAGGTGGGAGGGAGAAAGGATAGGACCTGGAGCAGGGCCTGGGACGCAGGCAGGTGCCTCCTCTGTGGGGCCACTTCTCTTGGCAATGGGGAACAGCTCTGTGGGTGATTTTATTAAGATGAGAAGTCAAGTAAGAGTTTTTTTTGTTTTTTGTTTTTTTTAATATAACAGGGTTGTCTGACATACAACGTTGAAAAGCAAAAACTTGAAACTGTTGTGGTCATTGGGATGTTGGAATAATTTTCAAGTTCCACGGAACATGATGCACAATGGTGAATAAATATAGTATCACTAACAGAAACAGTGCAGCTTACACCAAATGCTGTGTCCAAGTCTTCTCACGCCTGCGGTCGCGATGAGCTAACTCATCGTGCACTGCTTTCCATTCATTCAAAAGCCTTTTTCTGAAGCTGCTGTCACACTACACAACTAATAAGCCTTCGGTGTAGCTGGCCAGAAACACACTCTCCTCCTAACAGAAGCGTAAAGAATGCTTTTACAGCTACTGTTCAATTTGGATCAAAGTCCAGTTTTAGCATTTTATTCTTGAGTATTTCTCCTGGTCAAGGCGGGAGAGGAAGGGCTGCGCGGGTCTGGGGAAGTGACCTCACACACTGGATTAGGGGTCGCGTTTACCTCCGCAGACAGCAGCTTTTTGAAATCGCTCTCACGGCTGTCCTACATCACATCTCACCCTCCCGCCGAACTTTCCGCTTATACCCGGGAAGTCGGTGCGGAGACGCTGCCTGAGAGCACCTGACGAGGCCGGCGCACTAGCCCTGAGTCCGCCAAGCTGTCTGACCGCTGCTCCCGGGCTGCGTACGCCTCGTTTCCACTCGGGCGTTTCCGTGGGGAATTGCGGCACGAGCGGGTCCTGGGTGTGGCAGAGACACGTTCAGATCTCCCAGATTTTCCGCTTCTGGCAAATCTTCCCAGCCCTCAAGCAACTGGTGACTCGCAATCCGGACCCACAGTCCGGCTTCCCGAGGACCGCGGGATGACCAGACCAGTAGCCTCTGTAGACCGCGAGACGAAGAAGGGCCCGGGCGCCAGGAGGCGTATCCCTGCCGCGCGCACAAGTCCTTATATGCACTGGTCGCGCCAGCCCGCCCACTCCAGCCCCGCGACAATAAAGGGGGAGGGCGGGGGAGGCTCTCTGCTCTTTGGCTTCTTTTTCAGCACTAGAGAGTTCGAACCCACCGAGAAACCCTAAGATGCGATTGTAGGGCCATTTTGCTGCAGTGCGCGAATAGGACACACAAAAATAGAGCTTGATTGCCCACAACAAACGAATCAAGGTTTCGAGCTGCCGGATCAGCCAGCAAAAGCCGGCGGAACTGTGTGCGCCCCTCCCCCCCGCCACGCGGGTGCGGGGGACGGGTCAGGAAGCGAGGCCCCCCCTCCCGCGTGAAGACCACGCCCCCGCCCCTCACTCCGCCCAGGAAGCGGTGACAGACAGTTCTGTGTGGCTCTCCGCCCCCGCCCTCCGCCTGCGGAGTGGAGGAGTTGATGTGTCTCATTATAACAGCCAATGCAGCCGCCATCCACGCGAAGGCAGAGAAGCATGTCCCATTTAAATACACCCACGCAACCCCGGCGCCCTTAGCCGGTCGGGGCGCTCAGCCCACGCGTGCCGCGGCTGCGGGCTTGGAGACCCGCGCAGGTCGGGCTCCCGGACCGAGGACCCGCGCGCAGAGCGGCAGACCCGGCGCTGTGGGCAGGCGGGGAGGCTGGGCCCCGGCGCGGGTGAGACTACCGCATGAGGACGCGGTTGAAATAGACCAGGGTGGAATTTCTTAGGGAGAAGCTTGGGGGAGGTTTTGGTCCATTTCTTCAGCGAAGGAGGAGACATGGCGAGCGACTCCCCAGCGCGCAGCCTGGATGAAATCGACCTCTCGGCCCTGAGGGTAAGCAGGACGCATTTTCTGATTTCTTCCCAGGGGCGGGGGTCTGGAGGACGGGCTGGGCTGGTGCAGGAGCCGGGGCCGGGGCCGCGGGGGGAAGGGCGATCCCGGACTGCATTGGACTCAGGGCCGAGGTCGTTCGGCCGAGCCCGGGCGGGGGCTGTGCGGTGCTGGGCCTCGGGTCCGGCGAGGGCCCCTGGGGCTAATCACGCCAGTTTCGTCTCAGAGCGGTGTGAGAGTGTTCAAACGAGAAGCTCGTGCGTGCGTGTGCGCGCGTGTGAACACGCCCCGGGCAGCGTATGGTCCCAGGGCGCGAGACCCAGCTGTCCCTTCTGGCGGCGCTGCCCTCAGCAGTCACAGCTCCCTGCAAGACGACACTGTGAGCCAGCCGGCCGACGTGCCGCTCCGGGGGCAGCTGTAGCCCTGCTGGCCTCGTTGGTGTGGACGCTTTCCCCCGCCCTTCCTGCCCTCTTCGCGCTCCCGGGAGCTGCCTGCGCTCACCTGTGTGGATGGTCAGCTCAGCCCCGCCCTTGCCCACACCTGTGTGGATGGTCAGCCCCGCCCCGCCCGTGCTTTTGGCTTGGGGCGGTAACGTCACGGTCTGTGGCTGAGCTGGAGCAGGTGAAAAGGATGGGTTTTCTGCCCTCGCATAGCCAGACCGGAACTCGCTGAAGAGAGAGTGTGTGTGTGTTCCCTGTGTGTGTTTGTGCCCTTGTTCTATGTGTGAGCGCGGGTTCTATGTGTGTACATGTGTTCTGTGTTCCCTGTACATGTGTGTGCGTGCTCTCTCTGTGGGCGCGTGTTCCCTGTGCGTGTCTGTGTGTGCCTGTGTTTTCGGTTCCTGTGTGTGTGTCTTTGTGTGTATTTGTGTTCCCTGTGTCTGTGGCTAGTTCTTTGTGCGGCGCCTCCCTTCCCGAAACCGAGGTAGTTTGCGATTACCTTCCCGCGAATCACCTCAGACCTGGTTTCATGTAGGGAGACATCACTGGTGTAGAATCCATTTTGCTGTTGTTTGGAGATCAGAAGCCCACGAATCCCAGTGTAGCCTCGCACTCCCCACCCCCAGCTCCCAAATCCAGCTGGCTCCTTGGGGAAGGGGGCAGAGAGAGCTTTCTTGCCATATTAATTAGATGCTGTCTGCTGGTAAGGAGGGGTGGGGATGGTGGCACAGGGGTCTGAGAAGGATTGGACACCAAATTAAGGACTGCTTCTTCCTCTCCTGAACCAAAAATAAAATTTAAAATATAGCAAGTGAGTGCACTTGATGTGTGGAAGGTGGGTGAGACTGAATTGATGGTAGCTCTCCAGACTGAGACACACAGGGTAGGTGAAGCATGGGCATTTGCATGCCCTCCTGAGGAATGCATTGTTAGACTGACACTAAATCTTGGGGCCATTTACCTGAATTTCTAGTACTTCTCCTGAGATTGCCTCTTTCTCCATGGATATTTTTAAAAGGCATCTTTATGATAAAAGTGGTACTTATTTTTTTTTAATCTCTTTTCTTTTTTCACACCTCTTTATCTAATCCCTCCCCCTGTTGGTCCAGGAGGTGAGGTTTCAGCAAGACTGTCAAGGGTGAGAACAGCCAGGCGCCATGTGAATAGGCTGTTCTGATGCCTGAAGGCCGCACCCTATTCACACATTATTACAGGAACCTATGACCCAGTGTGGGAGGCAAGTCCAGAACCCACTGCCCCCTGGGTAGGAGAATGGAGTTGGTAGCAGGATGGGTCCTTTCCCTGAGTCTGGGACTCCTGCCTTACCCACAGCATGTGTCCATTTGCCTATCCTTCTGCACTGGACCTGGCACTGGAAGGTTAATCGGGGGATGGATGGCCCAGACTTAGAGGGGTAGAGGAAAAGGGCCAGACGGAGAGAGGGTCTGGACATTGGGAGAAGCTTGTGGAGATTTCCCTGAACTGGAGTCTGGACATTACTTGTCTAATGAGAAGCTCTGTGATGTGATTTTAAGCTGAGCTGGACTTGTCCCTCGATGGGGGAACCTTCCTGGAGAAGGTTTTCTGAGATCCCCAGCTCAGAACCAGCAGTGTGGGGGCAACCATGAAGGTTCTCCGGGCTGATTGTGGTTCACAGGTGGGAAGGCTGTGCTAGTGTGATCTGTATTTTGAAAAGATATTTTTGCACAATTTACTGAAATTGCTCTTTGTGGCCTGAGCTGCTAATTCAGCACTATGCCTGTGTTCTTCTGCTTGCCTGGAGGTATGGAAATGGGAGGGCAACAGCCAGCCTGGGCCCTCCGGTACTGTTGGCTGGAAGACTTAAATGCAGGTGTGAGGACAGCTGCCTCCTGCAGGGCTAGGGGCTTTGGCCAGTCTTGTGGGTGAGGCATGCAAGCCTGAGTAGGTCCAAAAGCCATGTAGATCAATCTCCACAAACCAGAGGGCAGGTGACCTCTGCCTCCCCAAATTTGGAGAGGTAGGTTCCAAATGAGAAGCCTCATTTGTTCCTAATCCCTCAGTAAAGCCTGACCCCTGAAATGCAGCCAAGGTCAGTGGCTGCTGGGAGAGTTTACTGTAGCCATATCAGCCCCTTGCTGTTTTGAAGGCTCTTTAATGCACACAATCAATGCTCTTTCTGTAAACCCTGGGCTCAGTGCATTAAAAGCAGATCCTGTCTGGAGAGGCCTTTATTCTTCTCACTTTGGGGGCTTATTGTTCTCAGCCAGCAATCCCAGACTGGACCCCATCTAAGATTCCCCAAATAGCAACAATGCATAATTTACCAGAGCAATGAGTGACGCACTGATCATTTAAATTATGCAAGATTTTGATGGTTTTAAAAAGTGAGATGAAGCAGTATCTTCTTTGGTTAGAGAATAGATAATCCGAATTCAGTTTATTTAATCCTGATTTATTATTATTATTTTTTATTAAATTATAACTTTGTACATTGATACATTTATGAGGTTCAGGGTACTGCTTCAGTATACAATGTGAAATGCTTACATTGAACTGAGTAACACATCCATCACAATTATACTCATTTCTTAATAGTTTTGAAATGTACCATTGCATCATGTACGTTAGGTAAGGTCCCTCCTCCTATGTCCCCTCTCCCCTCCTCTCTCTCTCCTCTTCCTTTAGTCTTGATTTTTAGCACTCAAAGTGAAAAACTAAATCTTGGGGGATGGGCTGGGATGGTTTCAAAGATGAAGAGCTGAAAGAAAATTGTAAAATACTCTGTCATTCCTTTCATCAAAGTCTGTTACCCAAGGTCACACGGCTGCAGGGTGCAGGATGATTTGAGAATCCAGGTTTCCTGCCTCATTCAGTGTTCTTTTCTCTGAGTCACATGTCTATGTTTGAATCAGAAATCAATAATACATTTTCTGCCTGAGCACAAAAACAAAACTAAAAATGAAAAACAGCAGAGAGGATTGATAGAGAGGATTGATTTTACCAGGATCCCAGGATTTTATTTATTAAGAATAGGAAACTGTATCATGCAAATATAAGCTTGCAGTATGTAAAACTACAGAGCTTTAAGATTCCTTTGGAACTCGTCTTGCTCAGTGCCCCCAACCCAATCCCACTGTGCAGTCAGATGCTGGAGTCATCTAAGACAGGTGGCTGTCCTGCATAGGTACCCCCCCCCCAGTAACCCGTGGCAAGCTGGACATGCACATTATTTAGAAGTGTCTGCATGTGAGGTTTCAGAATTCTATGTGTGTTTTGTGTAATCTATGTGAATATGTATATTATGTACACTATTACGTAGCATTATGGATATAAACTCTATCCATGTGGGTGTATGAAAATGTGTGCACACATACATAGGCTGTGCGCACACATACATAGGCTACAGCAAACAAGTTACTCATTCAAACCTGGGGCTTGAATCATCCTTGCTTCAAGACATCACAGTATTAAGAGGAAAGAAACTTGCCACCAATGTGCTCTCTTACATATGAGGTGAGCTCAGCCCCGAGAGCCTTCTGGAGATTAGCATATCTCTGAGCCCAAGCACCTTGGCTGTCCTCAGCTTGGCCCATGGGGTAAGGCATTCAAGACCAGGCTTTGGCTGCTGCTGCCCTCATCCTTTCAGCCTTTGCCAGGTCTCTCACACACTTTTGTGTTTGAACAAAATTAGATGACCTATGCTTGTCTTCCCCTCACTCCCTTTTGGGCCTGGCCATTTCATTTTCCACTGAAACCCAGACTTAAGAATTGACCTCATTTGGGAGACACTCGCACATCCCTCTGCTACTCTATTCATACTTGTGTTATAGTTAGTGTGAGGTTTTCTTTCTGTCTCTTCACTAAATTTTGGGCTTCTTGAGGGCAGAGGCTAGGCCTTGTTTGTCTTTGAGTCTGGAGTCTCGATCAGTTGAATAATTTAATGAACAGCACACAGATGATTGAATGAGTGTGTGAGCAAGTGGAGTGTGGTGTGGACTGCTCCTGGGCTCTGGGACTTAAGGTAAGTCATCTAACGTTAGCTAACCTAACAGTGATGATCGCAACTGCTAGCATCCTCAAATGCTGGTTTCAAAATCAAATAAAATGCTTATGGTGATGATTTAAAAACCATAAAGCACTATACAAATAAGTTACTCCACGATTAAATAGAATGTTATGGGAAAATTGATTCCACCAACATTTGATCCCAGTGATTGTACTGAATAGAAAATAATCCAAGAAAAAGGTATCAGAAAATCCTGCTTCTTTTTTTATAGCACCTCAGCAGATCTTAGCTATCTTTTCCCTTTTATGTGCCAGTATGACCTTGTATGTTTCTCTGAAGGCCTGAGTTAAGCTTTGGCCGAGTGTTAGCGTTCATTACATATGAGGTGAGCTCAGCCCAGAAGCTTTGTGGAGGTTAGCATATTTTCTAAACTAGTATCAACTATCAGCATTATTCATCAAAAGCTTTCTTTAAAAGCTTTCCCTTTTACTGGTTCTTTGTACCCTCAATGATTCCCCAACAGTAAAAAAATAAAATAAAAGCTTTCCTCTTTATGGATTATTGATTATTCAGAA